CGGCGTTAAAAAGCACGATTTGATACAAAACTGCTTTGGTAACTGAGCGATATATGCCATAACGTTATATTTGTGATAACATCAGAGGCGTTTCGTGGGTTAAATGACTTAGTATTCAGAACAGTAAAACAGTCGTTACATCTGAGTCTAATCTCATAAATAAATGTGAAAGGTCTTTTAGACCATCAAGACGAAAAGAATAATGTTTGATTTCTACACAAATCATTGAGTACAGAACTTCATAGTACTTTCTTGAGATGCTGCCCTCACCGATACCGTTCAGCATAATTACTCAGTCACCACCAGGAAACCCGTCTCATGTTGCTTTGCAAATACTAAAATGTCGAAAAGATGCATCGACTTTATACTTAATATTTATTTATTTATTTATTTATTTATTTATTTATTTATTTATTTATTTATTTATTTATTTATTTATTTATTTATTTATTGAAGATATATCAACATGTTTCCACCAATTGCGGCATTTCTAAAAATAATATATGTAAATCAAAAATAGCAAACACATAACAATACTATAGCAAAATATTTCAAGTGTGATATTAATAACGTATATTCAAATTATGTACTTAAACATTCAACTATCTAAATAATTACAGCCTTGAATGCTGTGTAAAACATAATGGGATAACATTAATTGATGTTATCAATTTGTTTCACGGCATATCAACAGTTTCCGTTTGGGTTCAAAGTAGCGGGTACTTTCTGATCATTTAACACCTGGGCCGGGGTAGGGTCGTGGTAACTGACCGAGAAGTATATGAATGTCACGCTTATGGCTATATGTTTTTCGTTGGGAGGTATTTTAGTTGTTTTATTTTCTTAAAATGTTGAGGAAATATTGTCATATTTTTGGTGAATTTTAAAGCGTTGGTGTAAAATAAATGGTACGTAGATTGATTCACGATACAGTTTTAAGGATGCAGTGTGGATGAAACATATAGTTCCAATGTTCTTCCTAGATACTGTGGAATAAATCCTAAATTCAAAATGGTGCGTTTGCAGGGCACACAACATTATTCGTCAGAGGAATATTCAAAATTACTAATACGCATGTGCGGTGATTGATATTGTATCAGGTGCAGTCAACGAAGCTGTTCGTGCAAAAAGGTGTTCGCGAACGTTTTTCTGTGGGCAGGCAAAATTTAATTTAATCAGTGGGAGGGAGAAAAATTTGACTTAATATTGTGGGGAGTGGGTGTGGGTAATGCATTTTTGGAAGTGGGCAGGCAGAATTGTTAACATATGGTGGGCAGAAAATTATAACTATCAGTGGGTAAAGAGGAACTTGTGGTTACAATATCGGGAGGGAGAATATAGAGATAATACCCGTAGAATACCGATGAATCGTCAGGTTGCCAGATTGGGTCAAGCGAGGTCAGTTGTGTCTTTGATATGATGAACGCCACCAAACAGCGAAGAGTTCAGTGCGACGAAGAAGCCGACAGGATACATTCGT